TAACCTCATTTCAGGGCTTGTGTTGCATGTTGGGGCTGGGATGTAGTGGCTGAAGAAAAGGACTTACACTTCATCTTAACATAAATCTATATTCTAACAGAGATCTGGCAGTAAAGCCCAGTTAATCAAGCAGCTTTGGAGTGAGTAAGAATAGCCATGGATGAGGATTTTTAAGCAGAGTCAGATGGGAAAGCAGATGCCATTCAACTGCGTTTCCCTTGATGCAGTCTTTCTCGGTGGCGCCACAGGGAGGATTGGGTTGTGCTTGGTCTGTCTCTCACACTCACTGCATCCTGTGTCCACAGTGCTCAGCATTCTGCTCTGGCCTCTGGTGGTCTACCACGAGCTGATCCAGAGGATGTACACGCGTTTGGAGCCTGTCCTGATGAAACTGGACTACAGTATGAAGGCAGAGACGCTGCACCACAAGCATGAGAAGAAGAGTAAGGACCCACCTTCTGTCTGGGTTTTTTTGTTGCTGTACTCCTAAGGTGGAGCCCTAGCAAAGAGACAATAGGAAGCCACATCTGCCAACACTGGAGGAGCAGAGGAAAGCAGGTGGAAACTTGAGGTTTATGGGGAGAACAATTAGGTGCTCCCAGGTGATCCCGAGAACTGCACACAAGAGCAGCAGATTATGGTTGTCTCTGGGAACCCTGTACACTTTCACGTGGTAGTAGAAGTAGTGGGAAAGTAATATATAAAGGCAGAAAATTCCTTCAGTGTCATGTAAAGCCTTTCTTCTCTTTCTCATAGAGCGACAAGCGAAGAGCGAGCCCACCATAGGTGATGAGCCAACAGCAGAGACAGAGAGTGAGAGTGAGGCAGAGCTGTCGGGCTTCTCCCCAGTGGTAAGAGCACAAAGATCTGAGCGGAAACCAGTCCCTCCTGTCTGATCTGTAACAGCTTGAGAGCCAAGGGGTGGTCTGAGTACAGCTGCATTGATAACAAACAGCAGAGCACTAAGTCATTTCTTAGTGACATAGTTCAAAGGAGAGAAGGGTATGTGTTTGATGAAGGCCATTGTCTCCAATGTGGGTATTGAGAATTCAGTGCCACAATGCTGGTGAGGACATGCCCCAGCCTCCTCCTGACCTCAGAATGACTTTGGTGGTTATGCTTCATGCTCAGAGAACGAGTGTCTCTTGAAGAAATGAACTCATCCTGGTGTAATGTACAGGGGCTCTTCAACACTGAAAAAGGGAGATGAGCAGCACTAGTGTCTCTTACACTGTTCCCTGCTCTCAGTTAGACTGTGTGTGACCTTTCTGTATTTGCACTGCAGAAATAGACCAAGTGTCTTTCTTTTCAGGAGCTCTGGGCATATAGCTGGGCTGTGAGGTGGGAAGCTTAAGTTTCCAAAAGAATGTGGATACTCGAACCACTGCTTCTTGTAGAAGGCTTCATTGGGCTCAGTGTGAATGCAAAAGGGAAGGGGCGTTCTGTTTCTTTGTCATCCCAGGAAAGGAAGAAGGATCAAAGCCTCCTGAGACTCCCACAGTCTGATCCCATCTTGTACTGCCTCTTTTGGGTTTTTCACTGAGAGCAGGCAAAGCTTCAGGCAGTGATTTATTGCAGGAAAGCCAATGAGCTGAGACCGCCCTTCCCTGTAGTGCAGTGAGCACTTTGCCCAGCATACTGTCCCTCCAGCAAGGACTTCTGCCTGGAAGCTCTAGAGGCACCTGTAGGCAGCACTGTTAGCCAGACACACATGAATTTGTCCCTCTGCCTTCATTCCGTCCAGGTGGATGTGAAGAAAACTGCCCTGGCACTGTCAATCACAGATTCTGAGCTCTCTGATGAGGAGGCTTCTATCCTGGAAAGTGGGGGCTTTTCTGTCTCAAGGGCTACCACCCCACAGCTGACAGATGTTTCGGAAGGTATGTGATGCCTTGCTGCCCCCCTTACCCTGGATATTTTATTCCAGAACAATGAGCCTTATGAATGGGAGGACAGGGAGGGAACCCAGCTATTTGCGTGGGAAAAGCATTGAAAGGAGGAGGAAAAGCAGCACAGCATGCTGTGACTTCATGGCTGATCATAAGCTGGTCCCCAGTGGACATCTGCCTCTAATTACTGCCCCACAAAGCAATGCTGTCTTGTGACACCAGCGAGGGAGCAAAGGCACTCACAAAGTCCCACAGAAATAACTGCATAGATAGTCACACACCTATATATGATGCTGGGTGAAACAGGTCTGACATGCCACCCTGTCAGACTTCCTAGCTCAGAGGACGTCTGGTTAGTGGTGAGGAGCATGGAGGTACCCACTCGGATGTGGTCACTTCGGTGTCTGGGGAGGAGCACACAGGTGATGTGTTGTAAGCACCATTTCCCTGACCCTGAGGGTTTTCGTGGGGGGCTCTAGATGCAGAGAGCATGAGCTGGTGCAGGAAGTCCACTCTGAGCACAGAGCACATAGAACAGGATGACAAAAGGGACACTCCCATGTGAGTCATGCCACTGAGAGAATGGGATAACTACAGACCTCTTCCTGCTGTGCTCCAAGGATGGGGAAGATGCCCAAAAGTCAGCCATGGTGTGTCATCTAGGAGAAGGTGGGTGGGAGGTAGAGATGAGAGAACCTGTGCCTTAATGTTGGTGCCTTTCAGACCTGGATCAACAGAGCCTGCACAGTGAGCCAGAGGAGTCATTTTCCAAGGACCTGGCAGAGTTTCCATCCGTGGAAGAATATCATTCCAGAGACCTGGGACCACAGAGCGATGAAGACGCGTTTGGTGTGCCTCTGGGTCCTGAGCTTGCCCACGCTGCCTGTGAGCTGGACTCAGCAGAGAAAGAGGCCGTGGACTCTGACCTCTCCATCCTTCACCTCGCGTCTCCTCTCCATTTTGTAAATACGCACTTCAATGGGAGTGGTCAAGCGGCAGGAGGCAGCACAGAGCCAAAGACTGCCCCTGCCCCGGGCCTGGGCATCTGCATTAACACGCTGAGTGAGGAGATTGTCACCACTGCCATCACCACGGCGGTGCAGAACACCCTCTCTGCCCTGCTGCGGTCCTCAGAGGCCAGCGAGGGGCCCTCCCTCTCTGAGTTCCTCCCCACCGAGCCTGAAGAGAAACTGAGTTTCCAAGCACAGCTGTCAGAGAGTGAAGTGGTGGAGACAGAAACAGAAGCTTCACCAGAGGATGAGGAGGAAGCAGATGACTTTGAGCTACTGGATCAGGGGGAGCTGGAGCAAATGGATGTAGAGCTAGGGCTTGGAGAGGAGCAGGAGGCACAAGAGTCTCCTGCCGCTCCATCTCCCTCCTCTGCTGTGCTTGCTGAGCTGCCTAAGCAAGGAGATGAGGAGGAGGCAGTGATGACAGCAGCATCTATGTCTTAGGTCTTCTTCGTGCACCCCCTTTTCCTCCATTGTCACTGGAAAGAAGGAAAAACTCACACGGTGAACGTGCAGCGGGTTTTTAAATGTTTGTGTTGACTGGGATGGAAATGCGTCAGTGTTAATGTGCTGTGTCTGGAATAATGAATCCTTTCCATCCTTCTCGAGCCCGGCCTTCACTGGCTGAGCGGGAGGCCCTGCAGCTGGGGAAGAGCCGGCTCCTAGAAGCCTTATGCCACAACTGAAACACCAACCCCAGCAAACGCTTCCTAGTAATCGTGCAGTATTTCGGTCTGTCTTCTGTTTGTCTTTCGTTTTGCACGCAGAGTACCAAGCTAGCTGTAGCTGCTGCTAATACCCGCATCCCCAGTAGGACATATGCAATCTTATTTTATTGGGTTTTTAAATGGCTAAAAGTGTAAATAATTTTAACTTTCCTTGGTTTTGTTTGGGGGAAAGGGATGGGGTGCATAGTCGAAAGGGGCTCTTAGGGGCTAGTGGAGGGAAAGGGGTCTTTGGAACAGAGGGTAGCATTAAGGAGACAAAAGCAGATGGGTGCTATGCAGTGAAGAGACCCCCTTCTGCAGACTATACCATCTTTTGTGTCACTGTTGTAACAGGGTATTGGGTGATTGTTTTCCCTGTCTTGTTTGAGTTCTGCTGCTGGGTGGGTGTGGAGTTGAGTTTTTTGCAATCAATGAAATTCACTCCTAGCCCTGTTCAGTACTCCAGTTGCTTGCTGTTGTGGCATCTCATGCCTTCTGCACCCCTGACCCCACAAGCACCCCTTCTGTGCTTAGTTGGGCATCGTAGCGTGGCACCTGGGGACTCCGAAGTGGCTGGAAGAGAGCCAGAAGCTGTGTTACACAGCAGAATATCCATGGTTTGTGTCCCCTTGGGGCAGGGGGAGGGTAGAGGGAATTCCCCCGAGTTCAAGTTGTCCCATGTGGGCAGAGACACGTCTTGCTGGCCCTTCTGGGCTCCGCCTTGCCCCGAGCGCTGCAGCGATCTCTGGAGGTGGTTCTGCCGCCGGCTCCCGGCGGTGCTTCCGGAGGAAGGGGATGCTGCG